CGGGACTCAAGTCCGAGTCAAGTCAGTCTGTATTTCTATCGAGCTTTTCACAAACATTTTTCTGTCCTCAAAGACGCTTCACAGAACATTATTCCTCATTATTCATTCACTCTACACCTGCTGATGTAAACTACTGTTGTAGCCACAGCTGCCCTGGGGCACACTGACAGAAGCATGGCTGCCATGCCAATCGGCGGTCATTGACCTTCAAGTCCAAGTCAGGTCCCAAGTCTTAGACCATTTTATCAAGTCAAGTCTCAAGTCTGACTCGAGTCCAAGTAACGAGTCCCACCTCTGAGTGAAATACAGAAAATCTGCTTAAAATCGACCAAAACACAAAGAAAATGTGAATAAACTGAGTCATGTTCGTCATGAATGGGCCGAGTGCAGAATAATTCTCGTTTCAGTTTTATTATGACAAACCACCACAAACTGAGAGAGTTTCAGTGTTTGATTGTTAAACTCTGTCACTCTGTCCGTAGTTAAACTCGTTCTTGAGCCACACGCGGCTCTTAAACGCATCGAGCCGCTGTAAACTCAGACTCTGACTCCCGGTGCGTCACGCTCCGTGTCCCCGGAGCCTCGGCGCTGCTGTGGCCGGGCGCGCTGCGCTGTGGCCCGGGCGCGGAGCGGAGCGCAGCGGCGGAGCTCTGAGCGTCTGATTCACCGGAACGGCACTTCCTCCGTATCCCTGCGCACGAGCGTTTTATACCGTCTAAAAATAGTCCCGCGCTCCGCCAACCAAAACCTACGAGTGTCCGGAGCGTCCGCCAATCAGAGCGCGAGAAAGGCACAAGCCCTGCCCCCGCATTGGACGAGCCCTCCGGAGTGGGCGGGGCCGCGGCCGCTGTCCCCGCATTGGTGCGCGCGCGGGCTCGTCACGCGGGGTATGTTCATGTGTCGTTTTGAATCGGGGGGAAGTTTCCAGTCGCGCTCGAGGACTTGGGGAGAGTTGAGTCCTGCGCACGCTCCGTGCGTCACAGCCTCATCCACAGCTCCGAAGGCGCGCGCGCTTTGGAGCGGCTCCTGCGTGCGCACGGTGACCGCGCCGCACTCCTCCGCTCTCGGCTCTGTCTCCGCGGCCCCTCCGCCTCGTCATGGATGTCATCCCCATGTGCAGCATCTTCCAGGAGCTGCAGATCGTGCTCGACACCGGCTGCTTCTCCGCGCTCCCGTCCCTGGAGGAGAACTGGCAGCAGGTAGGACGCGGACCCGGCGGAGGGGCGTCTCAGAGCGGAGCCGGGGGAGCGGGGTCCGGGGGAGCGGGTCCGGGGGAGCGGGGTCCGGTCAGTGCCGCTGAAACTGTGAGGAAAAGTGTTGCCCATTTCTGTTTTGAGGTTTCATGAAGTGTCTCAGTTTTACTAGAAAGTCCTGCAACGAAAACGATTCTGTTCAAGATCTGAAACGTTTAAATCCACAAAATATTAAACCAAACCAACAAAAATAAATCTTAAAACAGTTCACGGGCAGTTCAGACATCCTGGATTAATCCCGGATGTTTTCAGTTTAGTTTTACGGTGCACTTGTTTTGGTTGTGTAGGATTGTCGCACGTGCTTCAGTTTTCACTTTATTCGTGTTTCTGGGTGTTTCTGGATAAACTTGTACGTGTAACTGCACTCGTACTTGTGGGTTTGTGCGCACGCGGGCGCAGGGCACAGTCTGACAGCTCCTCCGCCGCTGTCAAACTGTGCGCGCGCGTCCGTGGCACAGTTAAAGCTTCAGTGTTTGGGGAAGTGCAGATTCAGCTCAGACTCAAGCGCGTTTCCTGTTTCGATGTGTCTTTTGGAAACGTGCGTGTGCGGAGCGTTTGTTTGTTTGGGGACAGTGGCGGCGGGACGCGCGGGCTCGTGCTGTTGTGTAAACTGTACAGTCCCCGGACTCAGCAGAACTAAACCAGGACTGAACCAGGTCTAAACCAGAACTAAACCAGGTCTAAACCAGTACTGAACCAGAACTAAACCAGGTCTAAACCAGTAGTGAACCAGAACTAAACCAGGTCTAAACCAGTACTGAACCAGAACTAAACCAGGTCTAAACCAGGTCTAAACCAGAACTAAACCAGGTCTAAACCAGGTCTAAACCAGGTCTAAACCTGGTCTAAACCAGGTCTAAACCAGAACTAAACCAGGTCTAAACCAGGTCTAAACCAGGACTAAACCAAGACTAAACCAGGACTAAACCAGGTCTATACCAGGCCTAAACCAGGCCTAAACCAGGACTAAACCAAGACTAAACCAAGACTAAACCGGGACTAAACCAAGACTAAACCAGGACTAAACCAGGACTAAACCAGGTCTGACTATAAACGAGAGCGAACAGAACCATCACGGCGGGTGTCTGTGTTTCTGTGTTTCTGCTCCGGAAAGACGTGCCTCTGTGCGCGTACCCGCGTACGCGCTCACCCACCACAGGCACGCGCAAACTGTCAGAGTGAAGAAGTCCAAACTCGGAGATATTGAGCGCGGAGTCTTTTAGGAGTCTTTGTGATTTGGCACGGCT